CCCCGAGTGTGGGCCACCGAGGAGGAGCGGGCGCAGGGCGAGCGGGGCCAAGGGGCCGGATGGGTGAGGGCCCCGGCAAAGGCACAAAGTGCCGGGAGAAGGCTGCGGGCAGAGGCCCAGGGCTGCTCCCGCCGGAGACAGACACACAGAAGGGGGTGGGGTGCGGGGAGACGAGCCTGTGGGCATTGGGCGAGGAAGGGCTACTATGCGGAGGGCTGGCCTCTCACCCACGCAGACGGCCAGCGCCCTCACGGCGGCCTCCTCCCCAGGTGCCCTGGGACGACCTCCGCTACCTGTTCGGGGAGATCATGTACGGCGGACACATCACAGACGACTGGGACCGCCGGCTGTGCAAGACCTACCTGGTGGAGTACATCCGGGCCGAGATGCTGGAGGGCGAGATCCAGCTGGCCCCCGGCTTCCAGATCCCCCCCAACCTGGACTACAAGGTGAGGCTTCCCGGGGGACCGCGGGGGCGGGTCAGTGCGTCCTGGCCGACTGCCTGGTGAGAGCCTCACATCATGGGAGGAATGTCAGGAACTGAGCCAGAGCAGGAACCAGATGGGGACTGGGGGCGGGGAAGCACCCGGGACGGGGCTAGGGCAACAGTGGGATGCACAGTGGGTGGGATGTGGGCAGAACATTCTGGTAAGAAGGTCCTTGCTGACCCCACCCCCACCCCCGTCTCAGGGTTACCACGAATATATCAACGAGAACCTGCCCCCCGAGAGCCCCTACCTGTACGGCCTGCACCCCAACGCGGAGATCGGCTTCCTGACGGTCACCTCGGAGAAGCTGTTCCGCACGGTCCTGGAGATGCAGCCCAAAGAGACGGACTCAGGCGCCGGCACCGGGGTGTCCCGCGAGGAGAAGGTGGGGCCCAGTGACAGTGACGGGCAGTGTCCAGAGCCCGGGCTCACCAAGTACACCCCGATTGGCAGAAGCCCCTCAGAACCTATTAGCAACCACACCACCCCCGACCCTCAGTGACCCCACAGGGGAGGATGCAGGTGCCTGGCTGAAGGTACCAGAGGCTCCCCTGACACGGCCACAGGCCTTGCCGACAGGCCGTGACACCCTCCCCGTCATGTGGGCTGCTGTGCTCTGGCCACGCTGTGTGCCTCTGCGCCCGGATTCAGGGCTGGGAACGTGGGCACGGGGGGGTCAGGGG